ATTATTATTATTATTATTATTATTATTATTATTATTATTATTATTATTATTTATCTTCAGCAAAATATTATTAATTTTCATTGTAAATAAAAGAGATAATGTTTGTTAGGTATCAATTTTTCTATTTCAATTTTTTAATAGTTAAGAGAAAAATGTTTATTAGTACATTGATTTTACATAATTGAAAAAATGAGTAAAATTCGTTATTTCTTTAACTAACTCATTGATTATTTTATTCAACATCATTACGTAACTGTTATACATTGACATGCAAGATTTTGTTCTTTTTCTGTTCTTTGTATTTTTTATGATTTATCTATGTCAAAGCTGTTCAAAACTTTTGTGCTGTTTTCCTTTTCTCTTTGTTTGCTACATACTTATATTAAACAGTGTTTCAATTATCTTAACTTACTCTACAAATTGACATTTTTAGGGAGGACATTTTTTCACAAAAAAGCAGACTTAATGAACCTTTAGAAATTAGCTTAATATTGAAAATATTTGCCTAACAAATTTAATGAAAATTTAAAAGCATATTTCACATACTTTTGTACATTTAATGTACTTGTTATATGAAATTTCGTTAGTATGTATTAACTAACTTTTTAGTATATACATTCTTAAACGTTTAATTAAGAATAGACTAATTTTTGTTGTGGTGTGTTTTGCATGCCAAAGATGTTTGTTGATACATTTTGTTAAAAAAGAATGGTGATGGGATTCTCACAATCCTGTTGATAATTTCTTCTGACTTAATTTCACTCAACAATCCTTATTACCTATCAAACCATGACGACAACGAATACTTCAAAAATTCACTGTTTTCCTAAACATTGTACATTATTTCTACTTTAAGCTGATAATACATAGAACATTATCAAAATACCCTTAAGACATTTGTTTACAATGAAGTAGTTTTCTCTCTGCCTCTGTTTTTAATTTTTTTTTATAATTAACTTGACAATTTTCATGATTATATTAAGAATGATTTGTGTGAAATTATTAGATTGATTTTCACATTATTCATTGAAAGAGAAAATAAATTGTGGAAATAGGAAAATTACAGGAATGTAGAGATGGCTAATAGGAGAGATCATATGGCATTACTGTGTAAAGAAATTGGCTAACCATGTATAAATAAAGAATTTTCTTTTTATTTATGAAAAAAAAAAAAAATTTTCTAAACAAGTAGTTGGTCCCCCAAAACTATTGTGACTGTTCATTGTAAAGATATCAAAATGAAGGAATTACCTTTTTTCTACTTTAAGATGAAACAATGATTTCCTAAGCACAATTGAACACTTCTGAAATTGAAAACAATAATAAATCAGTATATTCAAATAAAGTTGCAAGAGACTTTACAACAACAAAAATTGCCTGATAATTTCATAACTTTTTTGTTTCCTACATACATTTCTTGTAAATGTAGGAATTTGTGTTTTTCTGAAAATATTACTAACCCTACTAAAATCCACTTTGTGAACTGTTATAGAACTGAATTTTAAAATTGTTTCTATTAGTATCTTCATCAGTCGTAGATGAGTTTTGTCATTTATGTGTAGGTACCTCGTAAGATGGCCCATGAGATTAAAAATTTCATAGTGTGTGTGTACTGAGAATATTTCATACAAAGTATTGAATTCCATTATTTGTTCATCAAAAAGTTCTTGAAGTTTGCATGTGTTCTTTAAACACCTAAAGAGGAAAAAATTACAAAGGAAAGCCATAATTTCCAATAATGTTTGTAAAGTTATGATTCTATGTTTCAACTGTCACCAATTTTAATCCCTTGATACAGTATGCATATCATATTTTCACCATCTTTCAGTTATTTTGTTCTTGCCCAAGGATGCATGAAGAATGCATTTATATTCCGGGTTTTTGACCAACTTCTTGTACATTTGGGATTTCAACAATTGGGAACAATTTTGCATGTTTATTTGGCTTGAAAGAAGCATTTGCTACAATGAAACATATTCATTCTTCCAATTTATCAGTCATGATTGCCTTTGTATGTTTATTATGGCATGATTTGTTTACTTTTTAGCTTGATGTTGCCTAATGGTTCTAATATTATTGAAGAGAGTTGCTTTTGAGTCTACTTGAACTTTTTCTACCTACCCTTTATCTTTGCTTTATACTCTCTTTATTTTCTCTTTGTAGATACAAATACTGAATATCTTTACCTGAATTATTTTGACTAAATTTGTATTTACACAATCTGCACTGTGTATTGCATTAATGTAATGTTTAAAATGATATCTTTTTTGATTAATGGTTAAAGTTACAATAGGAGTTTGTTGTTCTTGAAGAAATTTTATTTTTCACTTTTACTTGTTTCAGAGTTTGTTGGGGGAGTTCAACAAGGAACAGGAAGCTTTCATTAAGGAGAAGCAAGGGAAGGGCACTGAAGCTGCTGTACCACCTTGGGTTGGCTGCCCCAACGAAGAGAATCTCAAAGAAGAATTTCTTACTCTCTCCACCGTAAGTAATTAGAATCTGAATGGAAATTCATGGAGACTCGGGCATAATATCACATATTGTGTTTTCCTCCACTGGGCCCTACTTTGATCCCCAGCTGATCCATGTTGGATCCATGATCCTGATCCATCCTGGAATTTGCTATGGACAAAGCGAGCTCTTGCCAGGTTTTCTTAGGGTTCTCCTGATTGACCTGCCTCTCATTCGGCCATTTCTCTACAATCATCCACCTCATGCTTGGTACACTATCAACTACTACGAGATCATAAGTCTCAAAGAGCTGAGTGGTTGGAGAGTCTCTAAATTCCAATAAATTAATAAAATCTATGGAAATGAATGTTTGTTTAAAGTGCAAAGTTCCCAAAACAAGCTAGAATGAGATTAGTTTTCTTCTATCCAACAGAGATATTAGATTGTAGGGAACTAAATTCTTTAATTATGAATTATTATTGTTTTAATTGAATTGCCAATTTGTTTCTGGCATACATTTGGTCATTATAACTTGATAATTACACATCTTTCTTTCTAATATTTTGTACATATTGTGATGGGTTGTCATAAAGATAATTAAATGGAAATAATAAATTTATGTAATTGTAAATTGGACGACAGCTACAATGGAGGTATAGAAAAGAAACAGAGGTGAGCTTTTTGGAAACAAAACAAGGAAAGGGCAACAAAATTGGTAATGGGGAAATACATAATATGTTAATAAATAATGCAGTAAAAGGACCCGTGAACAAATTCTGTGGGGCAGAAAATAAATTAAGAAGTTTTTACCAGAAGGAAACCAAAGAATAAACAGATACTATGTTAAATGTGTGTGGTCAATCAGGAGTGAGATCGTGTGTGATGAGAGACGAAGGGCGCGCGAGATGAAAAAACGGGGTAGACGATGTTCTGACATGGTGTGGGTCACTGTTAATGGGAAAGCTATTTGGTTGCAGGAAGAATTAGTCTGAATTGTGAATTTGAAAAGGTAGTAAATTTACAATGTTTTAAGGTAGCAAATGTACAATTAGAAGGAAAGTATAGTATAGGAAGAATTAGAAAGGAAGTATAATTTCGTGTGTGGAGGATGCGAACATAATTGGAGTGGACTGAATTCTTTGGAAATGGAGGCTGAATGGAAACTGAACAATGTTAAAGTATGCAGTGGATTTCCTAAAAGGAAGTAACAAAATCAGGAACATTTATTTTTATTTGTATTTGCTATTGTAGAAAGACCAAGTTTTGTATTAGAGTGAAAATTTTCTAAATTAATGATTATGAGAAAATTTGGCCATGCATGCAAAAAGGGAGAGATTTGTAGTGACTATTTGATAAGGACAATAAAAGAATTCATGAAAGGAAACAAACAAATTACTTTACATAAATATTTCGCTACTGAGTATCTGCATAGACAGCCTATCAGACCCACACGTATACCCACAATGGGGCAATCTTTGGATTACCTTCAGGCAATAGTTGGGCAAAATGTGAAATTTGAAATGGTAAATTCAGGAGAGTAATTAAACAAAATGGTACTAGAAATGGTCCCCAGTCAGAAGATAGATCACAGTGGACAACAATACTGATTTAGGAATTGGGAGATCAAATCCACAATTTTTGCTTACATTTTGCACGCGTAGTAAGTAAGATATCGTTAAATATAGTTTTTAATTTAGTGTAATGATACATTTTTATAAAGTAATGACCATTAACACCCAGTAATTTCAATAATAGGAAATACCCTTTCTGTATCTAATTTTTTTTGAGTGGTGAACAATGAGATGTAATACATTAGTTTTGACATTTAATATATTATTTTCAATATTTAAATTTTCACACTTGAACAATGGAGCATTTGCTTAATTTCAAAGGAATATCACTGCTGATTTGATTTAGAATAGAAATATTATAATAAGTTGAATTATTGAAATGAATAGTATTCATCTGAAATTCTTAAGTCCAAGTAATCGATTTTTGAGTTTTAAAAATAGTACTTATCTCCTACTCATTCAAATATATGCCAGGAATCAATGCTTAAAATATTAATAATATTTTTTTGAAAATTGTAATAATAAAAATAGTAGTAATAGACCTACCCAATTGAATGTCAACAAAAATCATCATAAATGGCTTCAATTTATAAAAAGTATAGTCTATCATGAGTATTAACCAAGAGCAAAATTTAAGAAAAATATCATTATGTTCCATTTTGATTTTTGAGGTTTAAGGGGGGGGGAGCAATTAGGGTGTGAATTATGCTTAAAACACTGAAAACTTCCTTCAGACACTTAATTAGTGTATTTTTTGTGAATGTTTATAGGACAGAAGGAACTTTGTCAGAAGTCCTCCTGCTGGTGTGGAGTTTCATTTTGATTATGATACATGTTATCCAGTTGCTATGGCTACGTTAGCTGAGGATCCCAATTTGGAGAAGATGAGGTTTGAGTTGGTTCCCAAAGTGTGAGTACTTTTCAGAGTAACATGTGTGATAAGGGGTTTTACCGAGTTTATAATACATCTTTCATGAAAATGATATTGTTTTGGTTGTGAATATTAATCCTTTCATGAGAATTTGGTAAGATTGTCTTCGAAAATTTAAAGTGGCAAATGCATCCTTTAGAATTAAATATGAAGTTTTCATTTTTCTGCACATACTTGAACTACAATTATTCCTAATCAGTGGTTTATGTCAAGTCTACAATTTATGAGTTAATATTATTATTATTATTATTATTATTATTATTATTATTATTATTATTATTATTATTATTATTAATATGCTATTAATACTTTTGTTGTTGTTTTTGTGTGTTACGCTACTTGACAGTATCTCAGAAGAGACGTTCTGGCGAAACTACTTTTATCGTGTTAGTCTAATTCGCCAAGCTAATGAACTTTCATCTATGGCACAAGAGGGAGCTCCTGCTTCCCGTACCACAAGTATGGAGGGAGAACCTACAGGTTAGTTTAATAAAACAGCTTTATTGTTTGATATGCATGACATTTTTTAATGTAAATTCCTACACTTAAGTAATGCTGTGTTTTTTATGTTTTCATTTACAAGATAGAAATGTATGGTTTTTAACTCAATTAACCCAAAAAATTGACATTGTTCACCTGAAATCTCAAGATATATATTTTTAATTTTGTTTTGTATATGATAAAATATTTTGAAGATTGTATTACATCTGTGTAATACGATGTATCATTGGTGTAATGTGATGAATATTCTTTGATTATGATCAAAGTACATTTTTATGATATCGGCGGCAAAGAATTTTTGAAGAAGAAAAAAAGATGATGTTTCAATGAAAACTTTTAAAGACACTATAATTATATTTTATGATATTTCGCTATTTAGTAAAATTAAAATGAAGACACAACTACAGAATTTTGCATTATTAGATTATATTGTACTATCGGGGGAAATATACTCATACTTTTCTATCATATATTTATTTTTATCATTTATTTATGGATTACTCAACTTCTTATACTTTTTTACCTAGTGCATGAATTGATTGATAGATAGAGGTCTTATACACGCCTTAGATTGAAAATTTGATAAAACTATGTGATGCACTTTGTTGTTTGCATGATGCAGGTAAATTTTAAGTGATTCAGTTTCCTTGATTTCTCTTAGTTTGTTTTTTTTCATTTGCGTTCAGTGTTGTCGTTTGTTGGCTGTTTGCTCCTCTCTAGCGAAACCTGAACATGATGTGTTAGTCCTGGAACAAGCACCCACAGACAGCCCTACACATGAATTTGTATCCGACACTTTTCATGCCAGCTCCAGTGATATTGAGGAAGTACGGGAAGGCATGAAAAAGTTGGGTATGGACCCTGACAAGAGAAATGGTAAGTTTCTGTAACAATGTTCAATTTAAAGTTCATATTCTTAAGACTTCTGTCAGGCCATTAAACTCCAGAATACTTAGTGAAACTACTTTTCCTGTTATGCAGGTTAGTACTCTGCAGTGTACACAAATGAATGTAAAAATTGATATTTTCAGTGTCAGAAAAAGCAAATTTAGATAAATATTTTTTTTATCTAAGTATTTTATCTCTATTGATTGAGAACTCTTCTTAGGAAATGTAACCTATCCCGTTTCCTATCTGACAGCTCTGTGTGGATCAGTATGCATGTAATATTTCAGTTTAGTAATTCTTTCAATGTATTTTAGAGCATCAGTTGTATCTGCTGCTTCTGTAAAGACTGTTTAAGAAGCCTTTTCATTTTAAAAATTGGCCGAACCCATCTTTATTTGAAGTATAATACATAAATATTGGTTTTGTCTGTGTTCTCAATGCATATTGTATCTACAATAAAAATAATTAATTTGCAATTATTTCTCACAGTTCTTGTTAGATGACAAATTGCATGACACTAATCTATTTGCTCTCCATTGTGATATTTCTTTTAATGTTATATATTTGATCGATATCAAATATCTAATATTAATCAGTTTTCAAGTTTCACCTTTTGGTGATGGAGCAATTTTGAATTTTTCTTTTGTCTCTCAGCACAAGCAATTCATATCAGTTAAGTTTTAAAATGTAATTGCAGTTCAAGTGTGGTATAAGAAATATTAATTCTGTTTTCCAAACCAAAACCTTATACTATGCGAATTTTTTCATATTAGCTTGGATTCTTACCTCTTATGTTTGTGATGCACGAAAATTGAGTTTTTATTATAGATTTTTTAGTAAAATATCAGTAGATACTTACATTTTTTTGCTCTATTGTGAAATTGCATTTGGTATGAATACTATTAAGGTTAATTTTCAGTGAAGGGATTTGAATAGAATGTAGAATCTTTTCTATAAATTTTAAGATTATCAGGCGACAGTAAATTTTTCTTACAGGTCCTTAAAATGTAATATTTCCCATATTATTTGTAAAGTATGATTTGATATAATTAAATTTTTGTATTTCAAGTTAGTAAGCTGGCAAATTCATTTTCAAAGAAAATTGCTTATTGAGAAACTGTATTTCATTACTTTCACAGATTATTATTTCTTAGCATAAAATATTAATATCTTACACTGATATTGAAGGTCAGTGAAAACATTTCTATTGTAACGAGATAATTTCTGCTGACAATAAGCAATTTATATAGATACTGTTGGTTTGTGTTCTTATTTTGTTATTTTCATTCTTTTTTATAAATTGTTCAATCTGCCTGAAACTTGGTATTTAGTGCAGTATGGGACATGATCAATATTCTGCATTACATATTTACATTATATTTAATTACTAACATATTATCCTTTTCTATTTTTGTTGAGTTTTCTCCACATTTTTCTTATTCTTATTCTTCTTTAAAACGCATGGTATTGTTGTAAACTTTATCAGTACTAATCTGTGTTTGGGAGCATGATGCTATTACGTTGACCTTAATGGAATATATTCTGTGCATGCATTTGATTGAATTATTTTCTTACATAGATAAATATTTGCTGAATAAATGTTACTTTTCGCAAGTGTTTTGTATTCAGAAGGCAAAAAGTGGGTTCATAATAATATAATATTTCAATTTATTATACAATCTTTATGTGTAAAAAAAAATTGTCAAAGTGCTTGCAATTTAGGCACCTTTGGCACAGGGGGAGGGGGAGCTCTCTCTTTTCTCCTTAACATTAAAGTTAGATTATACGTCCTGTAGTTTTATTCTAATTTGATTTATAACAAAAAAACACTGTCAGTATAACATTACAATGGTAATATTTGCATAACATTAAGACAGTGTAACAATAATATGATGTATACAAAAAATATTTTGTCATTTTTTTTCCATCAAAAAGGCAACATGCATAGGAAAGGATTATTATGAAGGTGGTCTCAAACTGTCAGATGTACAATGCCTTATTGCTTCAGACTACTACTGTTTTAAATGTGGCTATTAATCATTGTCTCCATTGTGAACATTATTTTCAAGTTTACTGTTGAATTATAATTGATATAAGAATAGCTGCAACATAACTTTAACTTGACTACTAAGTTAAATTCATCTTGTCACCTTTCATTAAAAATTTTTGACTTGAACTAAAATTCTGTGGAGGTATACATTTGCTTTCATGTTTGCATGACTAGTACACTCATATCTAAAATGTGCAGAAAGTCAATTATGCATCCACATTCTCGTATTTCAATTAGTTTGAAATGGAAAATAAATTATTTTTATCAAATATACCAAAATGAGCAAATTCAATTGTAATATTCTAAAATTATTTTCTATAAAATTGGAAAATATTTACTAGGGGAAGCAAAATTTCTGGGAATTTTAGTTAGGAATTTGCCTTCACATGTTATGCAATCTTCATTTAGGTATCCTACAAGTTGGCCAATTCCCTTTCTTTCCGATTCCTTCTTGGAGACTTCTTGGAGACACTGTTAACTAATTCACAGAATCATTCAAAATTCATACACCCTTAAGGTTAACTTTGTTGTAGGAAGTATAATAATAAGAGGTTTTGTTATTTGAAGAAGATAGTCTCATCATCACATAAAAAGTATTTATTATTTTTTATATCAATAAAAAATAATTTTATTACTGTTAATGTTCAATTCTCCAATAATTTTGAGATACCTCTCAGTTCTCTAACCTTTTTTCTAATTGTTTTTCTGAACCCCTTCTTTTAAAAGGGAATTGTGTTTTAAGTCAGCCAATTCAAAAGGAGTGGGACGCGCAATTCTGTTAATGAGTCACATAAGCAAGTTATGAAAAATATTTTTTTATACGAACTGTTTAGAATTCTGTGGGATGCATTTTCTCTGAACTGTCTTGGTAGTGCCTAGTGTGGCATCTTCTGTTTGAAGACAGATCTGTGTCACCTTGCATTGTAGGAGTTCTGCATAATAATACCTTTATGGTATATTAGCACCAGGTGAAGGTAGATCCGCCATTATTAATTCTAGTCATCTCTGTGTTAGATGTGGTCTTAGATGTGTTCTCAATTTATATCTAAAGACATTTTTTGACAAATGGTCTCATTTTATAATAAAAAAAGCTCTGTTTCAAGACAAATTTTTGTTTTACAGTATCTTAGGGAAGATATTTCATTTGCTTTTTCTCAATTCTGTTGATAAAAAGAAATACTTCACATACAATACAATACATTTAGTGATAGCTTTCAATGATTGATTAATCTTTGATTCTTCATCTTTCTTTGTATAGTTTTATTGTTGAGTAAGGAGTTATTAAAAAAAATATACTGTATTGTTTAACTTATTTGTTGAATAGTCTTTCTAAGAAAAAAAAGCTTTCTGGACTGAGGATGTTCTGAAAGCACAGTGTAACGTGTGGAGTTAAGTTATTGAAGACACTGTTGATCAATTGAGCTTTGTCTTGAATGAAAACAGGCTTTTAATTTTTCCTGTTTAAAACTTTAAAATTTGGAACTGAAAATTGAAAAGAAAATTGTGTTACAGGTTGATTTATATTGAAACTAGTACTAAAAAATATAATATATTGAAAGATTTTTTACTGCGCTACTTTACTAGGCTTTGATAAATCACATACAAGTAAACAAAAGAAAACAACATCGAGGAAAAATAAGAGCTGAAGAAAACTTTTTTAGGATATTAAAATCAGAAGAAAAAAAATAGAATATTAATATTCATATTAAGTAGTTTGGTAAAATTACAAGATTGACATAATACCATTGAATGTGAAGAAAGATTTATAATTAAGGGGGGAAAAAAGATATACATTTGTAATATCATGAAATTATATTTAAAATAAAAATGCAGTGATATATATAATTAAGATGGTTCAAAAATGACAAATCTTCTTTTTGACTTTCAGATGAAGAAGTAAATTGAATTGGCTTTGGAATTTAAAAAAAAGTGAAACAATGAAAAGTTAGTACATAATTTTTTTAGAGACTTTATTCAATCATTTTTACTTTGAGTTCAAATGATTATTAATATTGCTTAGATGTGAATTCAATAAGAATTGAACCAACACAAATTGATGTGAATTGAACACTAACATTTAAAAAAATAAATTGTGTATTTTGTTTTACTACTTCCAAAAATAATTGAACTAGAATAAACTAGATACCATAATTGCAGATACCTTGATTCTTTAATTGTATCTGCAAAGGATTCCCCATACACATTTATAACTATAAATAGACCCTTCTCTATATTTAGGAATTTAAATACAAAATGTACAATTTGCAGATACATTTTTATATCACCTAATGTAAATAGAAAATGTTAGAAGTTTAGAAAATATTTTATTCATTGCTCAGAGTGACAATGATAAGTTTGATAAACAAATAAATAATGTTTTTTTGTCATTATAGAATTTACCCCAAAATTGACTTTTTTGTCAATAATATTCTCAGTAAAATGTAGCATAAAAATAAAAATGTGAAATAAACATTATTTTTATTTATTTATTTATTTTTACTTCCTTACTTTTAACATTAAGATCTACAATTTAAAAAAATGCTCTCTTAAATTTGGTTTTTCAATGCCAAAATCATTTTCCAGCTTCCATTGAAAAGCAATGAAAAGTGTTCTTGTATACCGTATCATTTCCTGAAGGAAAATATGCACATATCTGAAATTCTTATTTGTTGTTTGGCTAAAGACTTTACTGGATTAGACCAATTGCTTAGTGAACGTGATAGAAAGTAGTTTGAAGTTATTGATCACATGGAAACATCATGGCAAATACAATATCTTCAGATATAAATGATTAATGTTTGAAAAAAAGACACTTCTTTCTCTTCTGTGTAAATTTCATTTATTTTGAAACCGTAATGAAAAATTTGTTTTAAAAAAGAAATGTCTATTGTATTTTAAGAAATATATTAGTGTCTGCTATCTTGTTTATTTTATTGCAATTATTTTTATGACCTTAATAAAACTTGGTATTTAAAAAAAAAAAAAAAAAAAAATCTTTTGATGTTTCAAACCTATTTGGGATCTTTTTCAAAAGTCTTTTGTCTAGGCTTGTTGACACATAAACAAATAGTTAGCACTGTAATAAAAAATTGTAAATGATGTCAAAAAATACCTGGTCAAGTTATAAACATCATCTGGTTCCTGGCCATAAACACCATCCAGACCGGATGATGTTAAGACAGATTTTTTGACACCATTGACAATTTTTAATCAAAATGCTGTTTGTTTATATGTGCTGTCAACAAGACTGGACAATAGATTTTTGAAAATGACCCCAAAGGGTCAAAACATGAAAAAAAATCGTTATAAAAAATAGTCTGTTTTATTAAGGTCATAAAAATTATTGCAATAAAATATACCTATTGTATTCTAGGAATTGACATTGATTCTTTTGTATCTGAGCTTTCATTTCATTCTGAGCTTGATTGGCTAACCCTCTTTCTTTAAGTCCATAATTTAATTTGTAAAGGTTCTTAGGATTCAATTAAAATTAGTGGAGAGAAATGTAATTATCTTATTTATGTAATATTACACTGTAGTATAGGGTAACACTACTCCCCAGAATATAATACGAAGATGAACTGTTTTTGCCAAACCAAATGACTTGACATAAATACAAAAATTTCAATCACAAACCAATGCATAAAGGAAAAAAAATTCACATCATTTCTATGTTTTTGTTTGAGAAACATTACAACAACAAAATCCTCTTGAGTTCATGATACTTAACTCCATTACATTAAGCAAGTGTTGTGGACAACTTTTGGTGTTACAAGAAAAATTCAAAACCTGAGAAACAAGAGAGACTGTGCATCTGTTGTTTTCAAATACTACACATTTACATGTAAATTATTTTTAAAAAAATGCATTTATTCTTGAATTTGAAATTGTAATAGTTAATTATTTGGGCTAGAAATTCCTAAATGATGCTTTTTTAATTGGTTGACAATTTATTTTACCTTGTAAAATACAAAACTGAAAAGAAAGATTGTTTGGATTAACCATGACAGTGCAATGGCTGGTGAGTATGTATGTGGAATGTTGTAGAAATGATTGGCATATGCATGATATGTAATATGTTGCTTCTGTAACAGAGTTGTTTGCACATGTTTCTCTGAGAGAAATATTTTTTGTAGGTTTGCTGATCTTATTTTCGTATTACAACAGAATCCTATTTCAAAATATTGAGTAAATGCATTTCTTGAAGTATAGATATTCGTACATTTCAATATGTGATGATAGTTTCTTGAAGTGTCATAACATGGTTCATGTCAATTTCATTGAAATTTTCTTGAGGTTAAATGAAAAACAAAATAATCTTCCTTTCAATAAAAAAGAACTACAGTTATCAATTATGACAGGCCAATTAATAAACGTTCCTTTCCTTTTCTTTTCACACTGAATACATTAGTCCCATAAGACTGTTTAAAGTGTGTACTCATAATTTTATTTAGTAAATAGGATTCTTTAACGAAATATGTTGTAATGAACATGGAAGCATATTGCGTGTAACATTACTTGTTGAATTGTAAAGGATAAGGCTTCGTATTTGCTCTTTTTCTTCTACAGCCTAAAGAAGATGGATGAGCATGGAATTCAAAGCTTTTCCATAAGCTAACCTCTCTCTCCTACCTCTCCATTCCTACCCACATGTTAATATTTTTATTTTGAATTATTATTTTTATGGGGGTTCTTTACATTTCCTTTTTTATGAATAATTTAATTGGTTTCAGTGGCATGCTTTTTGCTAACAGACTTAACAGTGCATTCTTTGTTCTTTATTTCAATGCCAAATGGTGAATGTCAATGAGCATGTTCTGAAGAATTGCTCTGCACCTTGGAAATAATTTTCTGATCACTGATGTGTACACTAATACTTTTGAGTCTTTTCTCTTGAGCACTTTGGATGTGGGACTGTATTGGATTTATTATTCCATTGTTATAGTCATGTTGAAAACTTTTTATAGATTCCATAGCTTCTAATCATTTCTAGCTATTACACATTTCCTAAAGGAAGTGCAAGCTTAAGAATATGAACATTTTAGACAAGAATTGGACTAGATTTTCCTACCAATATGATGCAATTCTGACTGTTGTGCATTTCAACAATTTCATTTTCTTAGAAGCATGTTTTTATTGTTGCTTTGATTCTTGTTCTTCAATTCTCCAATTCTGCATTTCAATTTCAATGATTTTTAATAAAATACATTGTGATGTGCTCTGAATAGACAAATAAAGGCAGATCAAAATTAATATTTAATGGGCTGTGCAAAAGCTTTCTAGAGCTGCTGCTGTAAAGTTATCAATGATAGAGTTCCAAAATGTAACTGTTAATTACTAACAATAATTTACAACTATTATAATTTTTTTATATATTAAAAATCTAAAGGACCAAAATAATTCTTGTATCATGTCATAAATGTACACTTTATCTTGACATAAAGAAAATAAATCCAATATAGTAGAAAGTTTAGTAACAGAGAGCTGTCATGTATTAGCTTTGTTGAAATGTTAAATTCAGTTGTTCATGAGTAATATATGCAAAAATAAAACACTACACAAAGAAATAAAACAAAAAGAATATTCTTCTTAAATTATTCATCATAAGTGTACATTGTCAAAGTAAGGACAATATTATCAGAAAAGTGTAGATATTGTAGTGGTATTTTTAAAACTTTGTTGAAAAGATTCTGAGCAAATCTTAGTTCTTTCATTGGACTTCACTTGCCAAATATTTCTGTTGACTATGCTATTAAGGCATTAAGAGTCAGTGGACCCGTGGATATTATATAAGAAAGAGAACTATTTATATTGCGCTGTTAATATATTTAAAATATTTATTAGCAATGTAGTGAAAGAAATTATTTCCACTTCATGGTGCACTTGTAGTTAATCATTATAATAAAAAAAGATGTGGGGAATTTACTGAAAGAGATGGAGAATTAACTTCTTATTTAAGGAAATACATTGCTTTGTAGATTTTTTTCTTTTTCAGTAATTTGTTTCCTTACTTTTGCTTTTTAATGTTGATGTGTTTGCTCCTTACCTTTCACCTTTCTCTTTTTGGAAACTTAGCATTAGATATCACTTAGTGACTTTAGTTTTTCGGTTTTCATTATTATGCTTTCCTCCGTATCTCTGTCTCTCTCTCTCTCCCTCAGAAGAAGAATGGGAGAAAGAACTTGAAGCTGAGTTGCAAGATTATGAAGTAGTTGCCGATGGTGATAACAACGCTGGGCAAGATGCTAACTGGGAGAGTCAGATCGACGAGATGCTGGATGAGGAAGATCCTTGTGACCTCAAGTAGTTAGTTTACATCATTAGCATCACTATCACATTGTTGAAAATTGAAAGAACATGTTTATTTATATGATAACTCAGTTTTGAGAAATTGTAATATAAAATGTAAAGACACTCCTTTTACTTTAATGAATTGCAGTCAAGCAAATTGATAAGTCTGAAGTATGTGGCTAAAGAAATATTAAGATGATTTGAAATTGCATCTATATGAAGAAATCAAAAGAAGACACTAAGATACTCTTGGAAGCAAGATGACAATATTTGCTTTGTAAGTGGTTAATTTTTGTGATTGTAAAAAAATGTTTATTCTGTGAGAATGTACAAAATTATTTTTAGAGATGTGTAATTTTATAGTTGTGATTTGTTCATTTGTAGTATAAGTGTTCTAGTGTTTGTACTGGTACAGCACTTCTTTCTTCATATTTAATCGCTACTATTCAAAATTTTAGTATGTATATACAAGTTAAAACATTATTTTTCGATTATTAGGTTAAATCCAAAGTGAGGTACTGGATATTTTCCTTTTATTCCAACTGTAATTGTAACAGTAATTGGGGTCACAATATTGGTTTATGTTACTTGAATTTTCTTCAATAAAATGTGTGGATGATATCTTGGTAGGATTGTTCATTACTGAAATGAGATGCTGATAGAATCTGAACTATTACTTGACTATTTACTTTGCAATTAAAATATTATAATAAAACATTGTTAAATGTGTGTACATGTAAATATATACTATAAGCTATGGAACCACCAGTTTCTGTGTGAAAGCCAATAGAATGCATGTGAGAATGTCATGAAATTGTTATGTCTATACATGTGAGAGATAGTGTTTTGTTACTGATGTTTAATTACTAGTTGTAGTCATTAATTGTTGTGTGATACATGGTGGCTGGAACTGAATCTACAGTTTTGAAAATTCTGTGCCCTCTTTTCTATTGAATACGATTATAAATTACATAAAGTGCATACATGAAGTTGAGCTTATCTGTTAATAAATGAGGAGTAGTATGAATTATTGCAACATATCGAAATTTATTTTCTGGCCTACAACGTAAGGGCCTAAACAAGCTAAACTGGAAAGTAAATAATTACTGGTTTTAAAAGAAGATGGGACATAAAAGATTTCTTCATACAGTTGATGTAAATTTTCAAATTTTGTTCTATATTCTTCATTTATTATATAGCATTATTTTGAAACTAATGACAAATTTGAAATAAATTTGAGATGACTTTAGAGAAAAAAAATGAAGTTTTGTTTTGTTCAGAGAAAAAAAAATTAATTTCGTAAATCGAGAATAAATATAGAGATATTGGAAAGAAAATTAGTCTTTTACTAAAGTAATTACTGTAATATTGCATATTTTCATAACTGCCATATCATTTTATCTGATATACATAAGAGTGGTGATGCAGAAATATTGGAGGTTAAGATGCAATTGTGTGTTTTTATAATGGAGAGAGCTATTAAAAGCATTATACATTTGAGTTTCTACATAAATGGTAATTAGTGTTTGTGAAATGCCTTTCAAGAAAACAAGGTATTTTTCTGACTATAAATGAGAGAAGTAAAAGCACCAGCTGCCATATCACGGAATAGTGTTTCTTTCTGTTTTATTTACCTTATTATGTATCAAGTCGGTTGTATACACCATGTCCATATGGCAATAAGTTTTATTTTATTGTTCATAATTGTATAAATATTTGCTTTACTATTGTGAAAGTGAATGTGTGCTAGATTACTTTCAGTCTTCAGCATTAAGTGTTTGTGATAAATATTGCATTTCTTGGTGTCAACATTCCGAACTACATGTCTGATGATTAGGTCAATAGGAATTTAAAGTTTGATAGAGTAGGTATTCAGTTCTCTCTTTTTGTAATTACTTTTCTGAAATGAAGTTTTCAAAGATAGGTTTTAAAACCAAGAGAAATATTCAAAGTAGACCAATCTCTTAAGTTTGAAAAATTAATTTTAGCTATGGACGCAATTCCCAAATTTTATTAATTTGTTTTGTGTACATATAGTTGGATGGATTGCTAGCCATAAAAACAAAGTCTGTTACATATTTTGCAATTCTGCAAGATATTTCTCATGCATGTAGCTTGAAAGTTTCAACAAACCTGAACTCTCATCTTACTTGTGTGTGTAAATTGTGTTGTTCTTGTGACTTTTCTCTTATAAAATGATCATCTTCATATGTGTATATAAAGATAATTACTATGACTGACTATATTGAGTGATGAGTGAATTTGACTTAATGTGCGGCTGTATGCTTTTAAGTTTGCTCTCTTGAATGCCAACAGCAATTTCACTTCTACAGAACAGCATCATGTGATGTACCACTTGGTTTCAAAAATGATATTGTTTTATCTCGTGCAATTGGAGTCAGTTGTCACTAGTATAAAAGCTGTTAACTTTCTCCCTGTTCTTTCATTTGTACTATTTTATCAGTGGTAATGTGTAATGTATAGAATTGGAATATTCACCTTTATTAATGACAACACACATACTCCTTTAACAGTTACGAACATGCTTTGTTCAACAATGTGTATTCAGAAAATAATAGTGTATGTAAAACAATAAAATATGCATGTAGAAAATTGATTATAGATTAACTGAAAAATGTAATATTGTCACCAGTTAACAGAAAGCAAATAATATATACATGTGTTAACTTCTTGCATGGTCTAGTTCACTCTGCTAACCCTCAACTTCTTTTTCCTTTCTCCTCTATTGTACTTTACCAGCTGACTGGAAAGAACCCCAGAAATGTATTGACTGGAGAGAATGTGTATTGAAATTTAAGCAGCATCATGCATTAGCCTTTCTATCTGTCCAGTTCAATGGTTAAGTAATCTCAAATATTCTCTTAAATGTCAGAAAATGTGTATGCTTTCTACCTTGTCCCTAGTCTTTCAATTTGAGTTTGATATCAAGTTCTGTACTTTTTAAGGGTATTCCCTGTTTTGCAGCTAAAAAGTTAATTATTTCCGCTTTATTTATTTTGCTATGATTAGTGTTATATCAACTGAATTACAATAATTCTTGTAGCTTCTTTGAGCTTGTAGGTTCTTTCAAAATTGAGTTTAGTTTTAGTTCAGTTAGAAAGAAAATGGAGATTGAGATGTAGAAAATCCAGTATCCACTTAAATATAGTAATGTTGTGGTTGTCAACCAGTGTGCAGGTAGAGAAAACAGAAGTTTGCAACATTTGGTACACATCTGCAGGTAAAATGAATGTGAGCTAATCCAGAAATGGAGAAAATTTTTGAAAATTATACTTCTATACTAAATTAAAAACACTTATTGCTACACATTGGACTTTCAGAACATTCCTATTTTATTGCTCCTTTATAGACACTAAATTAACAAAAAATGGCCTGCCAGTTATTTTGGCTAATTTCATAGTTGAATCATTAAGAAGTCTTATTTATATAGTTGGTGTATCATTGCAAGCAGTTACAGAGCTGCTTATCAATAGCTTTGCCTCTATTACAGTTCTACTTTCTCTGCTAGATTTAAGAAAATTAACAAAAACTCTCCAGTTAGGCATTTATGCTAACCTCAATAAGAAGTGCCACAAAACTTGTTCAATAGCAATTCAGATCTTCCTGACCTTTACATCTGCAAATAGATTTTATTGTGTGTTAGCTCAAAATTATGAAACTAAGTTCTAGAATGAAATAATATAAGCTATTATCCAACACTAGATTCGCTGATTAGATTTAAAAACGTTAGGTATCATATTTTTATTAACCATTCTCCAACTGAGTAGTAATTGTCAGAACACAATTACTTTGCTATGGTACTAATAATTATGAACTAATAAAAATCCTCTTTAAATATTATTGCCAATAGAAGAGAAAACTTTCTTGCCCTTGGTGGCAACTGTAGCCACATCCAGGATTGTTCAACTGACAGCCTGCAGTGCCATTTATTGGCCTGCAAAAGCTCTTTAGTCAAAAGTTAAAGTCCCTTGTATTCAGCACGAACACAGTTTGTACCTAGTTGTAAGTTTAGTTTCTATAAAATGTTACATATTGAAACAGAACATTTTGCCATTCACTGAGATAGGGCCTAGCTTATATATCAATCAAAAACGTATGATGTCCCTGGTCCTCCTACAAAACACATTCATAAGTATTGAAATTATTCTAAAATGAACATGTATACTACATTTTAAACCCATTATTTCTGAGGGGAAAACGTAATATTTTAAAAATTAAATCTTACAGGACTGCAAGTCAAAAGAAAGTGAAAAATGTAATGAAAAAGTACTATCTATTTATAAAAATATTTCCACGATGTCTCATCAATTACACTTCTACTACTTAGGTCACAATCTTTAACGTTCTACATCTCCTTGGACAATTATTCTTTAAAAGAAGAAGATTTAACAGATAACCATCTTTTCGAGTTAGTGGTAGCCTACGGAAAACTACTACAGGTATCATTTGAAAGGAATGGGAGGGGAAACTAGAAAAATAATCTGCAGAACTCTGTGAAAAGAAATTTTGATATGTTGTTTGAAATTTCAAATGAATTTATTGCCTAGTATTGCAAAAGCAATGAGCACGGCGAGTACTCCTGCCAATATTAAGTCACTACATAAAAGTTCAGAGTTAAGATTTCCTTAAATAGTACTGATGATGATGATATGATTTCAGAATCTTATGTAATGTTGACAAAAGGTATGTTTCACTACCTATAGGAAATGTGTGTTAGTAATTCTGCAAAAATACTCACCATTAAGAAACTATAAGTGAGGAGGGGAATGAATGTAGATTTTCATGTCTGCCAACACACTGAATAAGACACAAATACATAAATCCAACAAAGTTTATTTTATTTTAAAACTAACTTTTAAGATTGAGTTTCATTAACCACAAGAGGATGAACTTCATTAGTAGAGAGAGAAAAGCTATAATTGATAGTTCAGTAGACTTTACAAATCTTAACATTTGAGAACAGATTAACAGATGCTTCAACATTACAATATACTATTCTTTATGTAAATGTGCGATAACAATGTTATAATCCTTGTGATATAACCTACCTAGGATCTAATCAGAATCAAAATTAGCACCAGTTATGAAATAGCAATATATAAATGGAATTTTTTGATATCGCACTGTGCATTCTATTACAGAAACATTAATATTATTTCCACATGTAATTAAATTGTACATTTGTACATCTACACAACATCAAAGATAAGAAAATAGCATAAGTATATAACTTTGTTACATCACAGTTTGTGCTTGAATGTTTAAAAATAATCAGGTCCCACTATTGGATATTTCTTTTTACATGAATAACAAGAGTAGCAAATATGAATGATAGTGAAAAATACTAAACCATTCATTTTGTAAATGACAGCTGCAGATACTTTAATAAAATAATTTACATCTGGTCAAATAGTATTAGCAGTTATGGAATTTTTTGGAAACCTCATAATTTTACCTCAAGAGGTTTAGTGTACAATTCAAGGCAGGAAATTCTATTTACACTGTTGGCAAGGCTACTGAGATTTTGAGCATTTTAAGAGAATAATTGTAGAACTTAACCAGCAAGTTCCACTCATCCTACCTGATATAAGGTTCAGTAATAAATTGGCGTTCTTAAAATATTCACCACCACTTCCATCATGAATATTAAAAAAAATATCAAACATAGGAGCGCTAGACCACAGCAAATGCTAAATGATATTTGTGCACTATCTGATAAAGATGGCAAATAAGGCTGCATCTTTTACAGCACACAATATTAATGTTCACTTTTCAACAAGTGAAAAACTGAAATCTAACAAAGAATTTATGCTATACAAATTCACATATTTCACCGCTACAAATTCTAAACGAATATTTTAAGCGTTAACTTTGAGCTTGTGGTTGAGTTTCTCCACTCTCAGATGCAGTTAATTTAGGCTTCTCAAAATATTGGTAACTAAAAAAAACAAAAGACAATGCATTCCATAAATTAAATTGCCAAGATGTTTAATAACATTAATTAGCTAATTATGACTTAATACTTACTTGACAGCTCTTCCCAATGAATACAGGCCAGTAATAGCCACAAACACATTGACACTAAATAAACTCCAGTTTTTGGGTATAATAACCAATGAATATCGAGACCAAATAAGTCCAGTTGCAGCAAGGGCTCCTGACTGAGAAACACTCACTTTTTCTGCTGGTCGTTTCAAGTCACCCAGGCCAGCAATCACTAGGCCCTAAAATAGTAACAATTTATCTTTTTTTCTACAATTGTTTTTTTCAAAACCTAGAGTCTAGTTCATTATTAGTAACTTACCCATTTAAATAAAGGTGACCAAAAAAATATGGTTTTAGGACCTGAAACAAAACGGGATCATTTGTAAACTGGGGTCATCCATAACCATAATATTGCTGACTTAATAAGCCCGCTCTGATTTGCATGAAATTTCATCTCACCAGCAGGATGATTCCACAAAGGTTGCAATCTAGCAGGTACAAACTGGTCAGCCACACGAATAATGCCGTTATAAATGACAGACATTGTCAAGTCCAGAAAATTTAGCTAAGTCCAGAATTTTCAAGGGCAAACCAATAATTCTTTCCAGCTGTCCTATGAAACGCACGGATCACGCACCGCGCCAATGATTCCGAGGTTATTTACTTACTGAAGTGATACCTACCGGCGTGGTACAAAACTACAAAACTATTATTCGCGGTTATTCTGAAATATAAGCAGTCATCACTGAATTCACGCGTGCATCGATGGTGGATGTAAAAACTTTCCGATTGAGCATGTATTTAACTACGATGTGCTGAATTATGGACAATTATCTTCAAGTTTATTTAATTTGCTTTACCGTCTGATTGCAATGGATACAGGGAAGTACAGGTTATGGGTATAGGCTGATTTTCTTAACAAAATTACATCTGTTACGTTTGGAATTCTGTGACTTGTAAAGAATAAATATTGACTCTATAGATCACAGCAACATTACCATGTGAAACCATTGCACCGCCTATCTTATTGCGTGCTATTTAAAGTTTCATTGAGCCCACCTCATGTCAGCCATTGTAGGTCTAAGAATTGTAAGTAATTCTGTCCATATTTCTTTTAGTTTTATACAAATGTCACAAATATTACCACCTACTTCAATGCTGTTAATTATGACTTCTGGGGAATTAATTTTTCATTTGATTAATTAAACATTTATTTTCCTCCATGAAATTATACAGTATTTTGAAACTTCTACAAATTCTGGAAGATGTTCCTATGTTGATCTTCCGCTACATTTTTATGAACTTGTTGGAAATTACTTTTATATATACTGAAATTGAACACACAATAAAGTAAAGCAAAGTATCTTTTCTTATCACTCATATAAAATTGTATTAAGTAATTATATTTATAAACTAAAGAAAGTAACACGTTCTTGCCCATTAATTTATTTGGAAGGAACCTTAGCATCGATCCACCCCGCCACACCATAGATTAACACTATCTTTTCATCCATGGCCTCATTCTCTTCGTGCTTTGTTTGCATCGCCCATTCCACCCATCCATCCCCGACCTGCCCTTCTCCGTCGGAATTAATTTTCAATTTTGACCTTTTTCCCCGAAGACTATCTGCGCTATCATAACGAATCAAATTGAAGAGAATTTTATGGGCTTCCCGAAAATTTTGGATCCACTTTGTTGGATTTTCTCCCCATTCGAGATATTTGCGCGTGGGGGGGGAATAGAGGAGATTTTTTTTTCGAAATCTTGTATAGACAGTACTTTTTCTCTTCTGTTAAAGGTAAAGTTTCCGAAATTTCATTAAGTTCGGAATAAACCTATAGATGTGTATTTAAAAAAAAAGATTCTTCAAAGTCGTCTGAATTATGACAGCACCGGGTGTATCTTTGAGACCGCTCGCTTTTCGCCTGTGAAACCAGGGTTTAAGACCCAGTCGATCCATGTGGACCGTGGTGGACAAAGCAGGTTCGTGGTTGATTTTCAAGACATGTTTCTCTCGCGTCTGTCTTCCGTTTCTCCCGCCTCCTATTTCGGTATTGCTCCATCATTCATGTCTTCACAATTATCTCACAGTCAAAATGATTCACTCATTTACAGGTAGGTATGATCATAAGGCATAGGTTCTGGTATGGTATCATAATAAAGAAGAATAAAGTAGCCAACATTTTTTTCAACAAAAGCTCTATTCTTATTTCAGTTAAAACAATCAAAATTAGTACTAGCAAAGAACGTAAAGACAAAAATTGAAAAACATTTGAAAGCTTTTTTACTGTTATGTAAATAAGCATTTGAGCTTACAAAAAAGTTATTTTGAGATCACCCCTTAATTATATTAATGTAGGTAGGTATTGTTTCTTAAGGATGAAACTTAATAATATTTTAACCAGAAACAAGACTAGCAGAACCAAAGTAAATCTAATATTATTTTTTTCAACATCTTTTGAAGAAAATTTCAATGTCTTTCTGTTTGAATATGTCACAAGGAATGTTCTCTTGTTAGCAGTGTTATCAGAATGTCATACCATTCTCGTATCTTGCTGTATTTCTGTTTTTCTTGAGAATGATTGTTCAATTGGTTTCATTGTCAAAAAAATCTCAATTGTTGAGAAATGTTTATCTGCTGTTAGAGCCGCTCACAAGGGGGGCAACCCTGACAATTGAGTAGTCCTTTGGGGGGTCTGCAAGTTTGTCTCTGGGCCCGTTAAATCCACAAATGGCTCTGCTGCCACAAAAATTTGATTCTGAAGGAAATGTGTATTTTCATGCTGACTTCACAATATGATTTATTTGAATGTAATTTTTCTATTAATACAATAACTTCTTTTATTTTCTAGCTGAAGATTTAAAGAACTGTCTGTAATATTAGGTAGTATGCTGGGGGTTGATTAAGTTTATAATTTAAAAGTGTTCTTAGATTTTCGAAACTATTGAAATGTTCGTGCAATTCAGCGCCATGCAATAGCTGTTCCATTCTTCTTTGAATGACTGGATGTTTATCAAAATACATTTTCTGTAAGAAGTTAATTATATTAAAATTATAAAATTAAAAATATGAAATTAATAAGACAGAATCCTTATCAAGCACAATTTCTTGTTTTTATGATCTAGCTATCTATTGTTTATTTTTTTGCTCTATTTTCATGTGACACTTGATGTGATAAATTAAATAAAAATATTTATTTTGCCTTTAATCATAGAAAGTAGAAATGATATATCAGACGGTAAAAAAAGAAAATGCTTAGGGACTGTTCAATTATAATTGCCAAAATTAATGACCAACAATGGTTGTTTAATTCATTGAGTTATTCAATAATTCTGAAAATTATTTTCTTAAATACTACTATTCTGCTAAATGTTATGTTTCATTGAAATATGGTAAGCCCTCTAAACTCATGATGAGATTTTAATGGAAATATAAATTTTGAATTCCCTGATGACAGAAAGTTGTTTGTTTTTGTTTTTTCAAGATTTCTCTCTGACCATTCATCTATGAATAACACTAGAGCCTAAACAATACATAAGAATGTTTATCAAAATTAATAGGTCATGGTATATCCGATCTGACTAATATTTTATCAAATACGATCCTGAAATTTGAAATTAATCTTTTAATTTTTGAGGATACTTTATATGAAGCCCCTGGGACATTGTTAAAATTTTCTAAAATAGTACCTTAAATTTTTTGTTTAAAACTCTTGTTAGAAAAGAGCAAAGAAAGCTTATAAAAATGGCATAGGTTTGATTTTCATTCCAACCTCTTAGGGGAGTCCCCATGACAAGGCTGAAAAATTTAGGAAATTTAGACAAATATACATATTTGTAAATAAAAGACAATTCTCTCAAATACATATTAAGATAAGAAAACTAAACCATTTAATAACTTTAAATTATTTTGTGACAATTGTTCATTAATAAATAGATGTTCGATAATAAGAAATAGTTGATAGATTTTAAAACTGAACTATTCACATATGTTTGTGGAAACAAATGGTATAAAATGTAAGATTCTATATTACAAAGTACCTTTTAGACCGTGTATTCCAAAAAAATTCATTTTCATCTTCATCTTGTTGTTTTGTTGTTGATGTTGTTCTTGTTTGTTTTCTTCTTATGATTAATAATGCTATTTTTTCTATTCCCATTGTAGGGCTTATAATAATTGTATTAGATGGCTGCAGCTTGTTGCATAATCACAGTCATTATGATACAGAATCAAATAGTATAAGTGGTTGAACAATCACAGAGAAGTTTACATTTGAGAAGTAATCAATCATTGGTTATTTTCGCTCAATATTGCGTGAATTATTTTGGGGAAAAAAAAAAAAAAAAAGAAACACAACCCAACAACCAACAACAAGATTTTCTCAAAAAGGCTCCAATTTTTTTCTTTTAACTTTTGTTAGGGATAGGGCAAAATTCACTCTATAAAAGATATAAACACCATATTGCTCTATACTTTTACTTTTTCAAAAATTACACAAATGTTGTTTTTTTTCTCTCTCACAACCTTTAATCTGCACATTTACAGAGTTTTGTAATTTGTCATTGAAAAATGACATTTAGAATGAGGTTTTACCCTTCTTTAATATTCCTAAAGTAATAATTCTGTTATACTATTAGAATGCCGAATAATTGAAAAACATTCAACAAAATATATTTTTGGCGTCGATAGATGAAGTCACTAGGCAAGAGGATGGGGCAAGTCAGAATAGCTACCCATTCCAAAGAAAATAGAAAATGAATGCGAGAAAATCTGTGCCGTTCTGTAGTACCACTAGTTTAGAACTGATTTTGTTTAAGGCAAAAATCTCTACCTTTAACTTTGTAGTTTTGGAGTGTTAACTTTTAGAATTTTCGAAAATACAGGAAGTTTGTCGGAAATGAGACTAGCACATCTTTTACCGTCCTTTACATACGAAGAGAAAACTTAAAGAAAAAATGGTGGTTTTGCGAGATTAATTTTTAAAAAATTGCTTATATTTCACAAAAAAGTACACGAAAACGACTAATATTTTCTAAAAATGTTGTATGACCGTATTTCAAGATCTGTCTTTAAAAGTCGAAGAAGAAATCCCTATCTTCAATGTTGCGGTTCTAGATGCCGGTCAAATGGCCGAGATCGTTAGTGCTGTTGCGGTCTCGGACCAGAAGACCAGCGGGTTCGAGCATGGGCGTCCCGGTCCGGGCATGGGCGAATTTGTGTATGTGTATATGTGTGACGTCCTTTCATCCCTCACCATCATAACCATCTCATCGTCCTAACCCCCAGGGCTAACAACCTTGGGGGATAAAAATCGGGTTTCAGTTAGAATGCTGATCCCCCCCCAGAAAGTTACTTGCACCTGCTGAAGCGGGATGTACGCGTGGTCCGAGTTGGCCCAGATACGGAAATAAAATAAAAAAAAAAGTTCTAGGAAGACGACAAAACAAATTGAACATGCACTTTTTGAAAAATCAAGAATTTCAACAACAATTCTACACCATCTCTTTAGCGTCCTGTGTCCTATCTGAGGTCAAAGCTTAATCAAAACATTTGGAGCAATTTTTGAGAACATTTTGAAAATGTTGAGGCTTCATGTAAAATACCCCCAAAATGTAAAGTACCCCATAACGCGTGCAGCGTGATAAATAAGTTACCGGATTTTTAACTAAACATCCGAAGAGGTGTAGAGATATTACTATCAAGAAGGGACCGCATTGACAGCAACGGCTTGGCCACTGCTGGCAACCCAACTGCAGGTTATATGTATTCTTGATGACGTATATGACATCTTGATGTCTTGTGTCGATGCATATGTCATTTATCAATGTGTTCGTTTACAGTTAGCTAATTTGTAAATGGCTTCATTTGTATCTCTTGCAATGCCATCGCT